TTGTCAAACTGGTTCCGCAGTAAACTTTGACAATGTTATGACGTAATTTATCATCAATAAGAGGACAGACGCATAAAAAACTAAGGTCAATTTGTTTTTTTAAAGTAACAAGACCCCAAAATGGTCAAATGCCGGAAATAAATGAGGGGAAAAGACACCGTAAACCGTAAACAAAGATAAGTGATTTTTATTCATAATGACGCGAACATTGTCAATAGCTTTTCTCGCTTTTTGATTGGCTACTTAAAAAAGTACATAAAATCTCATTGGTTAAAAAGTTGACAGTTTGACAGCAGAAAGTTGAACTTGAAAGTTTGCATAAATTAAAATTTGATCCGTCTGTACTCTTATTGATGATAAAAATAATCCAATCAGCGCGCGGGAAATTAGACAGTCATTGTTAAATTTGCTTTCGACGTGTTTAATAAAAAAGAAAAGCTTACGTCAGCGATGTGTATTTTACGGTTATTTCTCAATTGTCATATTAAAAGACTAATCGCGTCAAATAAGCTACACTAGAATACATTCCACTATCTATCTCTCTATTCAGAGGCCTATATATTATTCTGATGCTTATTATTAATAAAATATAAGTAAAAAAGTATCAAAGAACGCTTGTTTAATTAAAAAGAGGAATCTTCTGTTTTGTCACGACACAAGTGTTTTCCTTGCAACTGTACACGATGGGAAAAGTGTCATATGAATAGATTCATAGGCTCTCCTTCTACAAGGCGCCTCGGACTTAACTAGAGGCCACAGGCCGGCAACGGAAGTAACTACAACTCTTGAATAACATAACATATTTTGGCCACGTGCAAAATTACCCTTAAATTGAAGAAAACCTGAAAATCGTAATAAACTAAGATGGAAAAACACCAAAGAGATAATAATAAACCATAAAGGAACATGGATCCTTAAGGATGGAGAAGATTAACTGGGATTACAAACGACAAATTTGAAAAATTTTGGGCTAGACTTTTCAAGATGTGCAAACCGTGACGTAACTCCTTTAAGTGTCGGTAAGGGTGTTCAAGTGTCAAAAGCTACCACACCTCTTAGGATCAAAAAACATTTTCGTTTGAAAAAGGCCGTCCTACAAAATTTACTGTCAATTGTGACATTTGATAGTTCTCAACTGTTACTTTCAGTTGGAATGGTTAACCGTGTTATGCTATGTATAGTTTGTAATCATATTTTTCTCTAAGATTGAATCTTCGGCCCAATTAGCCCATGTGCTAAATCACTTACTGAGGGTAAACAAATGTATTTTTTTGGATGGTAAGATGTGCCTACCTATACTATACATCTACCCATACTTCTGTATATCGATCTACACTACCGGTCATGCCCGTGTTTTTGCTGATAAGCTTTATGATAGCTACATTTTCTTGCAACCTTCATCACTATAAGTTCTACTGAAACGGGCCTGGACACCAGGTAGACACTACATCTACCATAACAATAACAAGACAGCTGCGGCTGCGACGACAAGATTGATAAACTGTGACATCACATGTGGAGAGAGGCTAGAAGTGGGTGGCTTAGATGGAGCTTCGACGTCGATGGGCCTGCTGTGACGAAGGCCATCCGCTGACCTGCAAGTTTGACAGAAAAACGGGGGAAGATTAGGAGGTGGACATGGATTGACCACGTGCTGCGAATGGATAACAGTTCCCTGCCACGAATTGCACTAACATGGGCACCGGAAGGAAAACGCAAGAGAGAAAGACCAAGAGAAACATGGCGTAGGCAGTGGAGAAAGAACGAATGGCGATGGGTTACTGCTCTTGGGTAGAGGCAGGGGCAAAGTTTCTTGGAGACTTAAAATTTCCGGCCCCACTCTCCATACGGAGAAGCGGAACTGACGCCGCCGCTGAAAAGAATTAGGGTTAGAAATTAATTCAAATGTGGAATCAAACTTATTACTTTCAATAAGATAAAGAGCTTGTACTTTCCTTGTCTGTTTTAATTATTCAGTTTGGGATGCCCGTGGATTCGGAAGCTGAGACTACAACAACAACAACAGTTAAAATGAAAACAACATTGAATTTTCTGACCTGGTTCGCAGCATAATTTCCCCTTCCAAATCTGACACATCCTCAACATTTTTCCACGTTTTACGATCAGTAGAATACTGGAACTTAAGTCCTGGGAACACATTGGCGATCTTTAGCACACCTTTATCAATACTGCAGAGAAACGAAAATGTATCGGTGAGATTGACCATGGAAAGGCTTCACAAACGTCAATCAACCTAACCAACTAAATAATGGATAAATCAATCAATCAATCAATCAATCAATCAATCAATTAATTAATTACAATATTTAGAGAGGAAGCCACACCAGCCTTTGCTGGTTTTCATGCATCCCCATTCCTGGTAGAATTGGAATTTACAGATGCTGGGTTTTGTGAATAGAAGAAAACCGGGGTACATGGAGAAAAACCCTCGGAGCAAGGCGAGAACCAACAACAAACACCGACCCACATATGACACCGGGCCGGAATCGAACCCAGACCACATTGGTGGGAGGCGAGCGCTCTCACTACTCGGCCAACCCTGCTGTCCAATGGGAAAGAAGTTCGTATTTTGTAAAAAATAATCAACTTGTGTCTTCTCCCTTGTAAGCTAGAGTCGGGTTTCTGGTTCAAGACGCAATAGCAGGCTCCCGACTGAGTTGCTCTATCAAAATTCACTACACTGTTGGGGGTTTCTGTGCGTTTCCTAAAGTGTTCTTCTCGTTGTAATTTAGTCTTAAATCAAAAAGTATCGCCTGCATGAAATGATTAAGAACTTGTTTCTCCTATCGCTTTCTTGAATTTGTCTACCAAAACGTAGAGAGAAGTTAGAAAGTTATCACCAGATAGGATTATCTCACCG